ACACGCTTTCGAACTGCTAGGCAAGGAGCTGGGAGAAAGCAACGGGAGCTCACTGCGTTGCGTGGATTTGATCTTACAACTGCTGGTCTTTTGACCCTGCAGCACAGACTTCTGCAGTTTAGCCCGCAGCACCACCACGTACCATCCATTGTATCAATCAGCAAGTCCTTCTATGTTTGCTGTGTGTATGTGATTTGCTGTTTAAAGGGAAAGGACCTAGTTTTGTGCAATTCTTGCAGAGTCATTTTGAAAAAACTGAAAAATCTTGATGGGAGATAAACATTCCTTGCTTAGAGGCAAGAAATTTTGTGGGACTAGAAAAGTTGTAGAAGTGTCGTATCATGTTGATGTAAACTAAATTTATGAGAACAAACAATTCCACAAATATTCTTCATAACCCTGTTACTCAGAAGTTTCCCTCTTTGAGTTCTGTGGAACTTACTGGCAGGAAAATGGATATAGGATTGCAGCTTTATTTTGATAGATTTTTAGATTGGATTTTAGAGGAAAACAGAATGACAAGGTGTGTTGCCATTGTGATATACTGCTACTAAAACAGTGTCAAAGTAGTGAGGGGTTCGAACTAGGAGGGCATTATTGCTATTAACAACTGAAAATCCCAAGAATGTGTACAGAACTGGCCTGAATTGTAATGCATTTTGAGAGATTACCTTCCCTACTGTGAGACTGCCTCAATAATTCCCTGGAAAAGATCAGGCTTCCTAATAATGCCTAACTTCCACACTGAGGCCCTTATTCAGTGAATGTTTGACTCCAGCTTTGTTGCAAAGCAACAGGGTTAAATTGAACAAAAATTCCATCTTTCTCGGATTGCTTCTATGTATCAGGATAATGATATAATTAATTCACAGGGGAGTTATATGTTGGGATCCAGCTGAAGTTCAAATATTAAGAAACTGTAGATTATAATTACTTGTTCACAGTTATTTCACGTATTCTGCCTGGTTGTTTGCTTTATAAACTAATAGATGCCCACAGTTTGCCATTCCTTTGCTTCACTGCATTTCTTCTTTCATAATTGAATCCTACCCAGCATCCCCACCCCAGTTTTGGCAAAAAGTCAGTCAGAATGTGTCAATACTGGCTTGCCATTCTTGCTTACTTATCATTCATCTGTCGGCCACATGAGCTACTGCTCTATCTTTTGTGCTATATTTCCAACATGTCTTCATCCAGCACTGAGGACAAACAACTCAAAGGTCTCCTCAGTTTGTTTCATTAACTCCCCATGTTTCCTTCCCCTCCCCCAAATCAGAAACATTTGAGAAGGGTTTCTCCCTCTAAACCCCCAAACCATCCCCACAATCATGATGCCTTCGTCACAGCTCTGATTCCCACCAGTTACTACTTTTAGTCTCAAGGAAGGACAGCAGAATGTTATTAAGCAGCATGAAGGTGCCCTTTGAGACAGAAGACTTCCAGGAGCAGCAAATTCACCACTACCTGGATGGCCTTTGCTACCCTGAATAGCCGCTTTTTGCAGTTGCACTGTCAAAGAAATCCAAAATCCATGAATTCCCTTTTGATGTCAGGAGAATGGAAGTGATGTCCTCTCACATGGGCCATGCCATCTCGCCTGTTAGCATACCATCAACAATGGTACCATGCTACTCTCATCCTCATGTTCCTTATCTTAAAAATCTAACTGCAATATGGTGTCATGTTGAAATGAGCATCTTGGTTCCAAGGAAACAACCCAGCTTGCTCTTTCCTTCAAAGTTCCTTCCTTTCTGAACACTCCATTTTTTCTAAGCTTTCACTCATTTTCATATATCTGCATTTTTCCATTTTGCCAAGCATGCTTTATAGCAGCATTTTTCCTAAGCTTTCACTCATTTTCATATACAGTATCTGCATCTTTCCATTTTGCCAAGCATGCTTTATAGCAAAGCACACTACTTACTTACAGCTAATGTTTTCACTGTCCTTCAGTCAGAATATTTTTTGTTAAATGGAGTGGAGCTGGAAAACTTGAAATGTGGAATTTATGCTGTGTCTAATTTTCACTGAAGGCTGGATCCATGCTTTACTGATTAGCACTTCTTGTAATTCTGGAAGAGGGGAGTAGGACAGGAAAAGTGCAGAATCTGTATGTGTGTACGTATGTATGCATGAACCCAGGTGGTATATTTGGGTTTAACCTTATCTACTGGGGAAAGTGCAGCCCCAAGAAATGTATGAATCTGTGTATTCTCCAATTGTTGAACATCATATGAACAAAAAATACTGTGGTTTTAGTAGACCCAGAGAGGAGGATAGGAGAGCTAACCTTGAGCTCTAGAGAGTAGCTTTTAAAGGTGCTATACTCCTCCTCTGGGAAATCTGATGTAATGGGTAGTAGTATTCCTGTGGATTGGTTTTATGATTTAGAAATAAACGTCATCGTCATCATCATCATCATCATCA